TTTGTAATTATCTTGAATTGTTTTTTTCATTGTTCTTTCCAAAACTATTTTGGAACTTGAAATATTTAACTACTAGGATCTTGGTGAATTTCTTCTTGAATATTTCTTTATTATAAACCATTTCTTTAATTCTTTCTTTGGAAATTATCCTTTTAAAAGCAATTCCACTTGGACACACTGGTCAAATATAAATTTGATCACAGTATCTAGCATCAAATGAATATATAAAAGCTATACTATTACTTAGAAACAATAAGCTAATGTACATGGATCAGCTAATCACCTATGAAACTAAAGAACTAAAAAAATAGCAAATGATCCAACTAATCCAGAAGACCAGTAAGGGGCCCATTTCAGAGTGGTATCTAGTGATAGAAAGGAATATATAAAAAAAAAAGACCAAGACAGCTCACAAAATTCTGGAAAGAAGACTGGTTAAAATGGGACCCAATAATTATAAAGATAAATTCAGATCGTGATAAAAAACAAACACTTTGGATAGTAACAAGTGATAGATATCAAAAAATAATATAGGAAAAGCTAAGATTGAAAGACATCAAGTAAGTAGTACAAAAAAAAATACTTTAAGTGTACTGAGTTCCTATATGCTCAGGAAACCAGCCTGACAAAATGTTTAAGATATGCAGAAGGTAAAAACATGAAGAATCAATGCATAATAGAGACAAAAAGAAATAGAACATATAAAGTCTCCTATCTAAACACAAGAGAATTCACAAGAAGAGCCTAGTAGTTAAATATTTCAAGTTCCAAAATAGTTTTGGAAAGAACAATGAAAAAAACAATTCAAGATAATTACAAATCCAATCTGAACAATAGATTAAGTCAAATAAATATAGAGGATTGAAGAGAGCAAATTATTAGAGATAATATAAAAGAAGGAGCATATCAAGATCACTTAATTGAAATACTTCAATAGAATCAATAGTCCAAAGAAACATTGATTTTTTACTCTAATGGATCTCTTATCGATCATAGATATGAAAAATGAAGATGGGAATAGTATGAATACAAGTAGAAAGAGAGGGTAGAGAAAGTAAGTTCTAAATGGGAGTGGGTGATTGGCTATTATTCATTAGAGCTGAACTAGTAGAAATAGTCACAATATTACTAGTTGTTCCAACAAATAATAAGGTCAAGATTTTTACAGACAATCAAGTCTATATTGCCAAGTGAAAAATAATAGAGAAAGAGAATCCTAGAAGAATTTACAAAAGATAGTTAAAGGAAAAGAACTGGTCCCTGTGAGCAAAAATGTTGAATATTGTTAAAAAAAAAAAAACTAGATCTGCAACTGGTCAAGATCAAAGTATATTTTAATGACCCTTACAATGAAAAAGTAGATACTCTAGCAAAAGAAGTCTTAATGCTTCCTGTGATCGAATGAAAGAATCTTATTTCATCTAAAATTATTACTGAAATTAAATGGTATAAAATGACTTTAAATAATTCTATAAGACAGTTTATTAAAAATATAAAATAATAAAGTTATAGCTTATTAATAGACTAAACAAAACAGGATTTTAAACAAATGAAATCAACAGATTTGATATCAATATGATTACACATGAGATTTGATATGGGAAAGGATAAAGAATAGATACACTTGAGACACCTCCTTTAAAGATTCTCAAGAAAGAAGCTTCTTTATCAAATTAATCAATAAAGAGTTACTAACGCTTCTCAAATTAACTACAAAAAGACCAGATCTATATAAACAAGTAAAGTGTATAGTATGCAAGCAGCAAGCATAAATAATAGAACACCTATTAGAATATCCAGTATATAAAGCCCAATAATAGGAAATTTAAAATAAAGGAGCTGAAGGTATTCTAAAAATTTTTGAAAACTTCTGTATGAGAGAAGAAAAGAGATAGAAGAGAAAGAAATAAGACTTCTAGTTGCAGCAGAATAGAATTAGAAGAATTGGACAAATATATAGTCAGACTTATAGAAGAGATTGCAGAAATAAACCAGAATACATTAAACTTCTGCATAGAACTAATACAAAGTGATCAGATATTGAAAATGTTAAATCTAAAATATTGTCAGAAAAGAATAGGTAAAGAAGTCTGAAAGTGAATGGTAAAGATGCAAAAGAAGGTTTGCAATCAATTCTGAAAGAAGATTTGGAATGAAAGGTGCTCAAGAATGATCAAGTAGGAACAAGCACAAGGGATCTATAGAGCAAACAAAATGAGAAGATTAATCAATCTGTTAAATCAGAACAACAAGACTACAACTACGAAAAGATCTATATAGGAAGAAGAAAAACTTGAAGATGAAGGTTTGAAACAAACCTTTCTAGAAAGAGTAAGGTATGGAATAAAATAGTTAGGATTTTAATTTCTGTCAGAACTTATAAGGAGGATTTGCAGTTGTGATATGTAGGCAATGAAATTAGTAGTTTTAAGGGTTTTTACCTGAGCTACTAATAGAGCGATAAATCACTTCCAAAGTTGCACTTAGAGTGGTAACAATCAAGATGAGTGAGCTAATTAGAGATTTAGCTTTAGTGATACATTTTACATATATAGTATATTAATGTTTAATAAAGTATATATAATTAGCCTGACAGAGAATAAATATATATATATATATTTATTTATTTATTTATTTTTAAAAATAATAAAAGTTTCAATTGACAACTTTACATTTATCAAATTACTAGAAGAATGAAGAAAAATTTAAGCAATCTTTTTTGATGTAAAAGAAAACTATTTTTGATATTTATATACTGTATAGTATTCATATTGAAGTGTAAAAAACTTTAAATATATTTGTAGCTAAATTGCAATCAATGAAATTTTTATTTTATTTTTAAACTTATTTATGTATACTGTAGTTGTTACAAAAATATGATTATCAACTCAATGACAACTGCAAGTTACAAAATACAAAAAATTTTTATAACTAATTTTGGATACAAAACATGGTGAAACTTGACATATAAAATGATTGCACAACTAAAAAAACAATAGATTTAACATTTTTTTTATTTATTTTACTATGTTTGATAGTGCATTTATAAAGAAAGAATAATTCGTATGTGAATATGTTGAAGTCTCCTGTGATTATAAATTCGTGGATTTTGTGTTGGGTAATGAAGTGCTGTAGAAAGCTGGTGACCACCTCTCTGAGGATCTTATCATAAGGAAGATAAGATGATATTGACCTTGGGTTTGAATTTGAGATGGATCGCATACCAGAACTCGTTCGTGGTGAAGGTATTAAAGATGTAATTTATAATGGTGCTGGAGATAAGAATGCAAGTGCCATTGCTTGGTGAGGAGTTTGGTTGGGAGAGTTGAAATGAAGGTATAGCTTTCTACTTTTTTCGGTAGGGGTGGTAGGATGTATGTTTGGTTTCAATGCAGATAAAGATATTCCGGGAGTTGGGCAGGGAATTGATTAGGCTCTATATTTTTCCTGTTTGATTTAAACCTTGAACGTTGAGAGTTGTTATTGTGAGGAGGTTTTCGATGTGTTGATATGTGGTAGTACTAGAGTTGTCAGTGTGGGTTATGGGACCGTGTGTGTTGTTTGAGAGGAGCTGTTGGGTATTGACGATTGACGCTCGAGTCAGCTCAATTTAATAAAGCGAGAACAGTATAAAGATCTCATAATTTTTGAATACGATATGGAAAGTGTTGAAGGAAAGGATTTGAAAAAAAAAAGGGAAAATAAGGGAATTCAATATACTGTATATACTATATATATATGTATATACTGTATATATTTATTTAGATCCTAAACGGCGTGATAGCGTTTAAGATATTATTCATTTGCAGCCGAAATTGTTGATAACTTATTAAAAGCCTCTGAAGTTCGGCAGCGAAATAATATCCGAGCTCAAGGTCGAAGGTACAAAAAGATCGTGCAAAGTCGAAGGAAATGAAAATTTTTAATTTCGGTTTGAGTTTTTTTGTTCGGAGAACATCATCTGTTTACATCGATGAACGTATCTGTAAATTAAATTCTTTTTAAAGCATGAACATACTGTAGATGAAGCATGACAGGAGGAATTGAAAAGAGCCTAAAAGGTTATTTTAATTGGTCTATCGGTCACAACATCTACCATTTATTGGAATTGTTTATAAGAACGGAAGATAGGAAGATACAGACCAATTTCACTCATAGAAGCAAGTTGTTCATCAGTCAGGAATTAAGGAAATCGACAGGAACAATTCTACTTGATCAACAGCCGAGGAACTTGTGGATCAAGTTATAGCAGCCGGTAAATAGTAATGATAAACGATGATGAGCAAATGGCGGACAGGAGATAACTTTGTTAGCTGGTTTCGACGTCGCGAACATCAAGAAAGGATGACTCGTCTCACGACAGGTATCGTGAGGGCGAAGATATGAGAATAAACATAACTCCAAGAATAACGAAGGTGTCACCCTGAAGACAAAGTCTGAAATTAGATAACCTTTACCAGTTAACCGAATTAAAATATCGTCAATAAAATGATGGTCTAATAGCCAGCAATTAAGGATAAAGTAGTCTTGAGCAGAGATTTTTTTTTTTTTCCAAAATACGTGACATAGGCGTTATACGGTATTTTGCAGATGCTTGAATTAAATTTCTGATTAAAGGTACAAAAATCCCCACATTACCTCTGATAAGTTGAGTTAGTAAATGTTTATTTAGAATGCTTATTCATACATCGATTATAAAAATTATGATATCGCTTTTTTTAAACTTTGTGTCAAAATAGGCGCGATTGACGTATTCGCTAACCAAGTTTTTAACATAATCCGGAGGTAATTAATTGGTAGAATACGAATATAAATTTATATTACTGTACTTATTATGGATACCTACTTTACTTACTATAAACGTCAAATTTGTCAATCGCTATAATTCGTGCTACCGCTTTTCTCGTCATAATATTAATAGTGTGCACGTACTGTGGAGTTGTGATGAGAATTGTCAAAAACAATGCATTTCCCAACCCGCAAAATTCAAATTTATCAACTTTTCGCCGCAAACACAAATCTTGGGAAAACCTTATTTTCTACAGGACTATGTCGGGCCTCTGCGAGATCAAGAGAAAATTCTTCAGAAGAAAAAATCACTTCTCAACTTTTACATAATAAAACTTGTTATCTCAAACCAATACAAACGGGGTATCCAGAATCTTCTGATTCGAGGTTCTTGGAAAATTTAATGGGCGCAGATACGCAGATTAAGATGAAAACATTGTTTGCCTATGAAAAACCCGTGAGTCCACATCTTGCTGTCGACCGGAACCATGTAAATCCCGAGTAAAAAAAAAAAAAATGTATTACTTTTTCATTTTCAAGATTATCCACTTTTCTTAACAACTTGCGAATTTAGGTACCAAAAGATCGCGACGTTTTATTATCTATTAAAAGTTACATTTCAGAGTTCGTATGCGAATGTGGTGATGACGGTGGAACGTTATTCCTAGAGACAGCTGGAGGTAATTAGGAATTTCTTCGAGGCGTCTTCTTTATGTAGAATTCTCGATAATTATTTATTATAATTTAAAGGTGTAGCGAGCCCTGTGATGTCAGGTAAGTTGAAAAGGGCATGATTCAACTTGCGTTCATTCTTATAATGTGTACACTTTTTTAAAAAAAAACTAGGAACTTTGCAATCCGACTTTTATCGACCACTCAGGTTACCAACAATCCTTATCGGCGATAGTAATCTCGGCGGAATTTCCACAACAATATCTTCTTTCGAATCATTGTATCTCCGTGGTTATGACATCCCTATAATACTCATGTTTGAAAACACTGAACTAAAGAACCACCTCTTTCTTGAACGATTTTTCAGAAAGTTTTCAAGTGATCATGCGAGTAAAAGGAATATTTACAAAAGTAATAACGATAAGGACCTCAATGATTCAAACCACATCGATAAAAACAGAAACAGCAACGTGATCGTTGCAACTGTTCCGCCACCACCACCCTTCTCGCCAGTCTTTGACCGTGATCAACTCCAACTAAAAGAATATTTCATTAAGAATCACTCTGAATTTGCGAGTATTCTCGAGAAATTGGACCATTGGCATCACAACAGATTTGACAGATTGGATGAGATGGGAGAATTGGCCGAGCAAGTGATTTGGTGGCCATTCACGCAGCACAATAAAGTTAAGAAGGTAAATGTGATTGATTCGGCTTTCGACGATTTTATGATGGTGTATGATAAATATGGAAAGGGCGGGAGGGAAAAAAGGATATCGAAGAACAACATGATGAAAAATGTGGAAAAGGAAACTGAACTAAAGGAAAGTTATGACGGAAAATTGGGTACGATGAAAGAATTATTTGACGGATCAGCTAGTTGGTGGACTCAAGGTAAGCGGGACGTTAGTTTACTTATTGACTTACTATGCTTTGCATTACAAATATAAATACAATTTATAAATAAAAAATTTCGAGGCCTTGGGCATGGTTCTTCAAAATTATCATTAATTGCGTCGCATGCGGCCGGTCGCTATGGCCATGTCATGTTTCCTGAATCCATCCACGAACCGGCATTATCATTATCCCAAACGTTATTAAGGACAGTAGGAAATAATTGGGCTTCACGGGTGTTCTTTTCTGACAACGGGAGTACGGCAATGGAGGTGGCCCTGAAGATGGCGTTGAAATCTAGCTCCTTGAGATATGATTTTGAAGAAACTGAGAAATTGAAAATTTTGGGATTAAATGGAAGTTATCACGGCGATACCATCGGAGTTATGGATGCCTGTGGGCCCAATGTCTACAACGAACAAGTTGCTTGGTATGTGCAAGTGTAATAGGTTGTAGTCTCTTGTATGTAAACCCGAGAGTTTGAATGATTTGATGTCTCGTCTCTTTTTGACAAAAGGTATACACCAAGAGGAGTGTGGTTAGATGCACCACGAATCCAGCTGAAAAACAATATTTACAATTTGATAATTCCATTCGCGAACCAGGAATTCAGATATCCATCATTAAACTCACTGTTTTCACCATCCCGTCCAAATAATGACCTGGTCTCATTAATCTATAAAAAATATATTAAAGATGTGATCACCACAAATGTCAATGAAGGTTGTAAGTTCGGGGCACTATTGATCGAGCCAATTTTAATGGGATCAGGGGGGATGATATTGGTGGATCCTCTGTTTCAAAGAGTGTTAATTGAATTTGTACGAGAGTGGAATAATTGGACTGAACCAGAAAAGATAAAAAAAGGTGAAATTTCAAGAATTGGAAACGTGAACGGAAATCAAGGGAACGAAAAAGAGTGGAGCGGATTGCCGGTTATATATGATGAAGTTTTCACAGGGTTCTGGAGATTAGGAAAGTTGAGTGGTGCAGATATTTTGGACGTTGTATGTAGTTCGATCCGACTTTATATTATTCGTTTTAAGTAAATTAAATTTACATTTTTTTATTGTTTCATCAAGACCCCGGACATAGCAGCATATGCAAAACTTCTGACAGGTGGTTTGCTACCACTAGCCACAACACTTACTACCACGTCGATTTTTAACAATTTCCTTGGCACGACTAAAGTTGATTCGTTGTTGCATGGGCATTCTTACACTGCCCATCCAATTGGCTGTATGGTGGCTAATAAAGCCGTTGAGGAATATGAGACAATGAAAAATGAAAATGAGAATTGGAAACTCGGGATGAAGAATTGGGAGGATGAGGGTGGCAATGGAGTTTGGAGCATGTGGAATAAGGAGGTAGGAAATCATTACACATGTATAAATGTATGCGCATATCTTATAATAAGAATTTTTTCGATTGTTCTTAGATGGTAGAAAAAATATCTTGTTTACCCAATGTCAAAGGGGTATTCGCCTTAGGAACTATATTGTCAGTTGAATTAGAAGATATTGGTGGTGGTGGTAGGTTTATTTTGGTCCAAAGTTCTAGTCTTAAAAAAAGTAGAAACAAGATTAATCATATTTCATCTTTAGGCTATGCGTCTGAAGTATCATCAACCGTTATAAAACAACTGTCAGATTATTCAACCGTTATTTCGAATAACGATATATTAATATCCTCTAGGCCATTGGGAAACGTGATCTATCTGATGACATCTTTAATTAGTGATCGTGAAACTGTTAGAAGATTGGAAAAGAAAGTTTATGAATGTTTAAAAAAAACTAGTTAAATTGTTGGTGAATTACTGTATAAAGTTGTCTATACTACAAAAAAATTAAAATAAAAAATAGATATATTTATTTTTATTTGCTTTAAAAAAATATAATATTATTTATTTTTAAAAAAATAAAATATTATTTATTTTTAAAAAAATAAAATAATTTTCACCGTGTATCTTATATAATGAATTTCATCACAAATATATTAACTAATTTATACACACAGTGTATCCGGAAAGTAATTTTTTTTGTTACAGTAAAAGAATATACTGTGTGCCTTTGAATGAAGTTTATAAAATGCGTAGGCAAAATATTTTGAATCAATCAATACTTTGGTAAATAAAAAAATCAAATCGTCTATTAAACTTACTTTATACAAAATCGATTTCATAAATAAAACTTCATCTTTTATTTTATCCAAACATTTCTTAATCTAATTAAATTTCACTTTCACGCAATACCAAAAAAAAAACATTCATATCGTTATACTAACAGGATTATATAAAGCAGTTTTTGTTTTAATATAATATAATGTCGAATTATTAGGTTATAAAGTTTATTGTCACCTGAAATTAAAAAAATTCAAGAGCATTAATAATAATGATAATAATAATAAAAGAAATAATAAATTGGAGAAAATTAAAATTAATACAATTTCTAACAAGTTTAAAATAATCAAATAATTTTATGATATTTTTGATTTTAATTGTTTTTAGCAAATTATAAATGAAAGACTTTTTGTAATATATACTATATTCTTTCTCATTTAACATGATTTATTTTTATTATAGTTTTTAAAAATTTTAAACTTATAACTAGGTATTTAAAAATTGAGTATTGCAAAAAAAAAATTAAAAATAAAAATAAAAATAAAATAGATATTTAAAATTATAAAATTTATATAAAATATTGTTTAATAATTGTATTATTTTTTTTATATATTTTTAAAATTTTTGAATATTTAGTTTTAAAGTTTTATTTTATTTTATTTTTTTTAATTCTCTATCAAGTTAGTTATATGGGCTTTATATACATAATATATTCTATACTAATTACAATATCACTAAATCTAAATTACCAAATAACTTATTTATCTTAATTAATCTTTCACAATATATAGTGGAGACTTTTTCTACTATTCCTCTGACTACATACAAAAAAAATGTTTACAAGAAGTTTTTAACTTCTATACTTACACTTTTCTTAAACAACTTGAAGGTTTACTTTCAAGAGTTACTTATACCCCTTCCTTTCTTGTTTACAATTCTCTTTAACCATAAACTTGGCTTCCAGTGGTCAAAAAAATCAAGTAATACCTTTATTACTAATGGCAAGAAAGCTCTTAAAGGAAAAAAAATCAACAATAAAGTACTTAAAGGTTCCTTCCAGCTTTGTTAAGGTTAAAGAGGTTCTATACAATGAAAAAAATTTATCTTTCTCCCTCTTTTACTATTGTTTCTCTCTTAGAACTATCACTTTCACCGTTTTTTGGAAAATTTTGTCTACCTATGTTGGACCCTGAATTTTAAATAGCACAAACTCTTATTAAAGCTAATTGATTAACATGAAACATATTGATTTCTAAAATATAAATAAGCTCCTATTGAATATATATATATATCTGGATGAAATACTGTTTTCTAATATGTTACTATATATAAAAAAAAAAGAATAATCTTTAAGAAAACTACTATCGCTATCCAAGAAAATAATAAAAACAAGATACTCAAAAAAATATAGAATAGAGGTAAAGTCTTAAAAGTGTATAATTTACTTATATAAGCTTGAAACACTAGAAAATTGGATGATTCTCTAGGATTATTTGTATCAATTGAAAATGAAATCATTGATAAAAGATATTCCTATTGGTATAGTAAATCAATTTTTTCATAATAGTAGTATTTTAAGGGCAATATTTATTAAGGTCAATTAAAGTATATATCAAAAAGACCAAGATTTTTTTTCTAGATAGATTATTACAATGAATAAATAAAAATAAATTCACTAAATAATAAAGGTTTTATCTGTCATATCTCCTTCAACTCTCTTCAATCCTAGTTCTAAATACTCTTAAAAATCTTTTTGACTTGTCTGATTATTTGAAAAAATATTAAAAAAAAAAAAATCCAATATAAGTATAATAAGGTAAAATATAGAATCAAAATTAAAAAACACAAGAATTATAGTATAGAAGTACTAAAAGTGATAGAAAAATAAACAGTATACGCCTGATTAATAAAATCCTCAAAAAATACCAACTGATGATATAAAAATAATAGTACTATAAACCACTGCATACAATACCCCCCTTAAAATACTACCTCCCCTTAAATAATATCCAGTAGTATTCAAGAATATTGTTACTCAATAAAGGATTACTATCTGGGTATATTAAGCTAGAGCCAATAAATTGTAATATATTTAAAATTTAATAATATGAATTACATAATTCTTTGCAATTTTTTTTAGAATCAAACAAGAAAGAATGGATTTAATGAACAAAAAAGAAAGAAACAATAGACAAAAAAAAAAAAGAAATAAACAAATAAAAGAGAAAAAAATAAACAAACAAGAGAAAAAAAAAAGATTGAGCAAGAAAAAATGAATTGAGTAAACAAGAAAGAAATGAGTGGAAAAGAGAAAAAGAAATAAATGTGCAAGAAAGAAAGAAACGAGTAAACAAGAAAAAAAGAAATGAATAAATGAGAGAAAAAAACAAGCGGACAAGAGAAAAAGAAATAAATAAACAAGAGAAAGAAAGAATTGAGCAAGAAAAAAACAAGCATGCAAGAGAAAAAGAAATGAGCGGGCAAAAAAAAAGAAACGAATGGGCAAAAGAAAAAAATGAATAGATAAAAAAAAAAATGAGCAAGCAAAAAAAAAATGAGCAGGCAAGAAAAAGAAACAAGCGTGCAAAAAAAAAAACAAGTGAGCAAGAAAAAAAAATGAGCAGACAAGAAGAAAAAATGAGCAGTAAAAAAAAAAGAAATGAGCGAGCAAGAAAAAAAGAAACGAGTAAGCAAAAAAAAGAAACGAGCAGACAAGAAAAAAAAGCAAGCGAATAAGAAAAAAAAACGAGCAGGTAAGAAAAAAAGAAATGAGCAGGTAAAAGAAAAAAAAAATGAACAAGCAAAAGAAAAAAAAATGAGTGAACAAGAGAAAAAAAATGAGTGAGCAAAAGAAAAAAAATGAATGGATAAAAAAAAAATAAATAAACAAAAGAAAAAAAATAAATGGCCAAAAGAAAAAAAATGAATGGGCAAAAGAGAAAAAAATGAATGAATAAAAATGAATTGAAAAAAAAAACTGATATAGAGAAAGGCAAAAGAGGAAAAAATGAATAAATAAGAATGAATTGAAAAAAAAAAACTGATATAAAGAGAGACAAAAGAGGAAAAAATGAATGGGCAAGAAAAAGAGAAATGAATAAAAGTAAAGGAACAAATAAGAAGAGAGAGAAAGAAATAAATAGACAAAAGAGAAAGAAATACATGGGTAAAAAGAAGAGAGTGGATGGGTAAGATAAAAAGGAATAAATGGATAGAAAAAAAAAGAATGAATAGAATGACATATCTTTATAATAAAATTTATTTTAAAAAAAAATATGATGAACTTTTATTATATGATGATCATTTATTTTTGATTATTGCAAACATTTTTTTAAAAAAAAAATGCCACTTAGAGAAAATAAATATATAAAACGCACTACCATTACCACCAAACAACATCAAAGTTAGAATGTTCATAAAAAATTGGCTGTTATTCTATATGCAGAAAAAAATAACAGTAATCAAAAAGTTGCAATAACTTTTTAAATAGAACCAGTCAAGTTCAGAAGTGACATAAAAAAAAAACAATTAATAAGTATAAAACCTCATATCAAGTATTTAAATACTGGTGCAAAATTAAAATTTCTGGAACTAGAGATAGTTTAGTTAGTTGGATTCAAAATATGTGTCAAAAACAAAAAATCGTAACACATTATATAATATAGAATCATGCAAGGTCCATAGCAAAAACTCAAGAATGGTAGGAAAAATATTCAGAAATTTATTTGGCTAAATTTAATGATAAGTGGATTGATGGATTTATGAGCTATAATTATTTTAGTAATTGATGAAGAATAACAATTTCTCAATATCTTCCTGAAAATCTTGAAGAATTACAACATGAATTTCTTGCATTTATTTTATTTCGCCATATTCAATATAATTATCCATTGAAATTTATTGGTAATATGAATAAAACATCCATGACATTTGATTTGTTAAATAATACAATTATAGAAAAAACAAGATCATCTACTGTAAGTATTCAAACAACTGGATAGGAAAAAAATTTTACCATAGTTTTAGTATGTATGACTAATGAAACAAAATTACCTCCTATGGTTATTTTTAAGTTTGTTAAAATTTCTCAAACTATTTTTTCTAAAAAAATTTTTGTTTGTACAAATCCAAATGATTATATAAATGAAATAGAAATGCTTTGGTAAATTGAACATATTTGAATACAAAAAAATAGTTTTGCAAATTTACAAAGTCTTCTTGTTTTGGATTCATTTAAAAGTCATTTGATTGATTCAGTTAAAAATAGATTTATTGAAAAAAATACAAATATTGCTATTATTCCTAGAGGATTAATATCAAAGTTACAATCTCTTGAGATTGCAATTAACAAGTCATTTAAATCTAAAATATATATTTATTTTTTTTTATTTAAATATTTAATAATTTATTTAATTTAAATATACATATATTTTTAGGTACAATCTTATTATAATACTTGGATGACAGATGAAATTAAAGAATATACATCCACTGGAAAAATTAAATGACCTTTCTATCAAACTGTTGTAGAATGGATTAAAAAAGTTTGGAATATAGTAGATGTAAATTTAATTTGTAAATCTTTTAAATGTTGTAGAATATCAAATGTTTGAGATGGTTCTAAAGATAATTTTATTTTTGCTTACAATCAGCTTGAAAAAAAAAATGAAACTGATGAAATT